CTATATGAACAAATATATTATGGTTTGGAAGCAACAATCAGTCATTCAGATGGTTTGGAACAAGATAATTAGAAAAGAAGCATGCCATAAAAGTTGTTATTTTAACAATTGTCCTCTAGATCTCTGCTTATAATTATGTTTAGATTTGGAAAGATTGTGTATAGACTCTTTTATGTTATAAAAGATTCTTTATAGATCTCTGCAGATAATCATGTTTAGATTTAAACAACCATATAGAAACCTTATATGTTAAAAGCTTTCTTCTAGATTTCTGCGGGCAAGAGCTTGCATTTTCAAAGCTTTCCTCAGGATTTCTGGGAAAATAGATATCCCTATATATATTTTCATGAAAGGAAAGCTCTTGAAAGAAAGACTTATTCATTGATATATAGCATGTTTCAATTGACATGACCATTTCCAGAGATCCAGAGGAAAGCTTTTGAAAGGAAAGCTTATATATAATTTTATTGTAGAATTGATCATTCCCAGAGATCTAGAGGGAAGCTCTTGAATTAGAAGCTTGTACATAAAATATGTTTAATTTGTATATATTATCTCCAGTGGTTACTGACAATAAATAAATCTAACTATTTACTTCAAAAAAGAGTTTTAGTCTTGTTCCCAGCACTTCCAGAGCAAAAAATACTGTAAAACACCGGATTTTGTAGCATGTGTTTTCTTAAACTAAATAGACTAGAGCTAGAATAGAACTAGGTAGAATTAAATTGGATTTGAGTTAGAGCTAAGATAAAATTGAAGTAAAACCGAATTTTAATAAATTTGTATTGAACTATAACTATAGCCTAATTGAAATTAGATGAGATTTGAATTAGAAAGGAATTGGAATTAAAATTAGAAGTTCGCCAGAATAAGATGTAAACGCTTGAGCTATAAGCACAGAATTACGCTCGCAAAGATTTCCAACCGTTTCATGTAAAGGACAGAGTGTCCTCGCAACTGCATGTCAAGCTGTTTGGAAATGCAAGTGGCAACCGCATTGATACCAGTCAGCAGTTAATGCATTCAGACTTGTATATGGAGATTTGGACAAGGACGAAGGAAGTGTTGAGCTCAGACGGTTTCAGGCGTAAGCAAAAAGATCAGATGCCTTGAGGTGAGAAGTAAGTTCAGATGCTAAACCAAAAAACCTTGAGAAAACACAAAAAACACAAAAACAATTCTGAGAGA